AAAACTAGTAACTTATGTCTATAGTAACTATTAGAAATATAATATAGAATAAAGAAGATTTAGAAGAAAACTATCTTAATATAGTACCTTATAAATATTAATAATACACTAAGCTATTTACTAAAGAACTAGAAATAGGCTTACCTAAGTATAGACTATAGGACTATAAGATTTAACTACTTAAAGAAAAAATACCTAAGTTTAAGCTAATCTATACGCTTAACCCTATAGAAAGAGAAGCACTTAATAAATAGCTAGATAAGAACCTAGTAAAAGGTTATATTAGACTATCTAAGTTACTAGTAGGATACCTAATCCTGTTTATACTAAAAAAGAATAGAGAACTAAGACTTATATTAACTACTATAGACTTAATAATATTACTAAAAAAATAGCTACTTACTACTACTAATTAGTAAACTATAAACCTTCTATATAAAGCTAACTAGTTTATAGTACTAGACCTAAAGAAGTATATAACCTTATTTATATAAAAAAGAAATAAATAAAAATAGTATTTATATAAGGCAAAGGCTATTTAAGACACTTATTATACTATTTAGACTTACTAATACACTTACTATATTCTAAACTATAATTAACTATATTCTATAAGAGAAGCTAGATATTTTTATTATCTACTACCTAGATAATATCTAATCTTCTTAAAGACCTTAAAGAATATAAAGAATATGTACACTAAGTACTTAATAAACTTAGGAAGTAAAACTCCTAGTAGAACTAAGAAAAGTAAATTCTACACCTAAAAGGTAGACTACCTTAGATACACTATTACCCTAAGAGAAATATAAATATAGGATAAAAAAGTAAATATAGTTAAGGACTAGCCTACTCCTAAAATATTAAAGATATCTAATTCTTTATAGGATTTATTAACTTTTATTAAAAGTTTATTAAGAACTTTAAAGATATCTTATAACTAATATAATAACTTACTAAGAAAGACACTAAGTTCTTATAGACTAAAGAATACTAATAATTTTTAAGAAACTTAAGAAGCTTATTAGATCTAAACTAGTCCTTATAATACTTAACCTAGATAAGCTATTTAAAGTTAAGACTAATGCCTTTAACTTTACTATAGGTAGACAACTAGGATAATAAGACAAGGAAAAAAAACTTTACTTATATATATTTTACTTAAAAACCTTCTATAGACCTAAGCTAAATTACTAAATCTATAATAAAGAACTTATAGCTATTATTAAAGTATTCTAAGAATAAAGACTACACCTATTAGGAACTAAGCACTAGGTGTTAGTTTATATAGACTATAAGAACCTTTTTACTTTACTACCTTAAAAGTTTTTAATAAATAATAAATATAATAGTCTAAATTCCTCTTAGAATATAACTTTAAGATTATCTACTATAAAGAATAGAAAACAAGAAAGTAAACACTTTAAGTAAAAGACTAGACTATAAAGTACTAGTACTAAAGGAAATATAAGTTATCCTTAAATATAATAATAATAGTAATATTATACTAGCCTAGAAACTTATTATAATTAGTAGATATATTAATACTAGTATAACTAGTAGAATAATAGCTAACTAGATTTATAAGATATATAGTACTAAGGTATATAGACACTAAGGAGTTATAAAGATATTTAAAAGGATTTAATAATACTATAATAAATAAGTTATATATAAAGAAGTAGCTTTAGTAATTAAGGACTATAAGATATACAAGAAAGTAAGAATAGTCCTTATAAGCTATATAGGTAAATATAACTACTACTAGTACTACTAGAAGTATAGTACTTTATCTCTTTAGACTTTATTATTAAACTTTAAAGATAAAAGAACTACTTATAAAAACCTACTATAATAGTATATTAGTTATTATTAATAGACTTATAAAGTATACTTACTTTATTCTATACCTAGAGTTAAGTACTATAGAGGACCTAGTGTATACTTTTTAAAATATATTATTAGTAACTATAAATTACTAAAGAAATTATATTAGATAAAGATAAGTTATTTATATCTAAGTTCTAGAAATCCTTAATTTTATAACTAGGAGCTAATTATAAGCTATTAACCTTATTCTATCTATAAACTAATAGTTAAATAAAAAGAATTAACTAAATACTTAAATAGTATCTATAATATTATATTAACTATAACTAAGATAATTAAGTACTATTACTTTATAGCCTAATTTACCTATAATAGCGCTATTAGAAAAGCACTCTAAACTTACTATTCTACTTAAACTATAGATTTTAACTAACAGTATATAGAGAACTATAACAAAGACTATAGGCACTAAAAGCTATAGCTAACTTTAATAAGATTTAAGAACTCTAAGAATTAGCCTTAAGAGACCTAGAATTTATTAGATAATAAATAATAAAGTATATTAACTAGAAAAGGATTAAGGGACTAACCTTTAAAGAGGGAGATAGTATATATCTTATTTACTAAAATATTAAAACTAAGTAACTAAGTAATAAACTTAATTATAAAAAACTTAGACCTTTTAAAATCCTTAAAAAGTCTTACTAGTTAACTATAAACTTAACTTACTAGAAATAATAAAAATACACCTAGTCTTCTATATTATACTACTTAAACTAGCACTATAAGATTAAATATAATAACTATATTATTATAGAACTAAATAAACTAGAATATAAAGTTAAATATATTATTAATAAACACTATAAAGACAGTAAAGAATAATACCTAGTAAAGTAGAAAAGCTATAAGTATAAAGATAACTTATAAGAACTAGTTAAAACCTCTAGTACTTTAATAGCTACTCTAGGACTTTTATAAGTACTAGAAAATTAAGTACTAATAGACCTATACTAGTAAACTTATTACTAAGCCTATATAAGGACTAGTCTATATTATTCTTAATACTCTTAGCCTAAAGATTACTTATTACTTAACGCTTATAAGTATTAAGCGCTATTAAAGTATTTACCTTCTCTAACTCCTATATCCTCTATATAAACATCTCTATATAATATTCTTTACCTTCTTATAAATAGTATAAATCTTAATAGATAACTAGCTACCTTAGCTACCTTAGATTAGATCTAAGTAAGCTACTAATAAAGCTTAAGGAGATATTACTTACTTTTTTCTCTTTTTCTCTTATTCTTAACACTAATTACTTAGCCTTTATACTATATATTATTAGTAGTAAACTAATAGAAAAGAAAGAACTTTACTTATAACTTAATACTATACTATTCTATTATAAGGACACTTTAAGTTTTTATAACCTTAATAAACTTTAGCCCCTTTAGCTATTTAATAAATATAACTAGTATAAAAGCACTAGGTGTAAAGTATAATATTAAAAGAACTAAACTATTAGAAAATATAATTATACACTAAATAAAGTACTAATTTTAATCCTAATTTTTCTATATAACCTAATATAGTGTTAGTATTATAGGTAATTAAGAAGTAGAATTAATAACTTCTTAACCTAGGAGATATAACCTACTTATATAGGTCTTAAGAGTAAGACCTTTAAGAGAGAAAACCTAATGTTATAACCTAATAAGCTATAGGTAATATTACTTTACTTAGTAAAGTAACTAGTAGGTAGTAATAGTATTTATATAGAACTAATAGATAGGCGTAGACAAAATAACTTCTATAGATATAGAAGAACTATAGTATAAGTTATATAATAATAAGATTAGATAAGATCTATACGTTAAAAATATAGAAGCTATATACTTAGTATATAGACACTATATAGAAAATATATAGGTGCTATAGTTTAGATATATAGCCTTATACGCTAACAGGAAGAATAAACTTATATATAGGATAAACTTAGACACACTTAAGGATAGACTCTTATAGCTTTTTAGTAATTAACTTCTTATAATATAATTTATTTAAATAACTTTTAGTATTTAACCTTAGTAATTTAATTAATAAGAGCTATATAAGCTACCTTTATAACTATTAACTACCTAACTAATTACTAAGTAATTAGTAGACTAGTAAGCCTATACTACTGTTAACTAAGTATTAACCCTAGCTTATTCCTAGCAGAAACCCTACTGTTAGATTACTAACTATAACACCTCTAGCTACTAGATATATTAGTCTTTAGCCTATTAAAGTACGCCTATTAAAGGGAGGTTAAATATCTAGATAACTAGGTTAGTAATTTAACTATTACTAGTAAAAGGGTATTTTTAGCCTATTATATAAGGGCTAGAGATATAGCTATAATAGTCTAGAACGTTAGAAGTAGCTAGAGGTTAGCTAGACTATAGCTAATATATATACAGCGGCCTCTATCTAACTCTATAGTAACTAGGGCCTAGTAGACTAGCTAGACTAGCCAGTAGACCAGCTAGCCTAGTAGCTAATAGTAAGATAAAGCTATATTTATTGTCCTATAGTTAACCTCTTGTTAGTCTACTAAATTACAGTATTAACTACGCTAGTTAAACTAGCTAGCAGAGGATAAGTTAGATACCTATACTATTTATTACTTATCTAGAAAGGTGTAAAAGGGGTATAATAAGCAGGCATCTAGAAAGGCACTTCTAGAGCAAAGGGTCTACTAGCTAAAGGGCTAGTTAGATGACCTACAGTAATATAAAAGGAAAAGGGTTACCTTATCGCCTAACAGCACTTTTGCTACTATATATGATATCCGGCGGGCGCAAAGTCCGGATATTGGCGATATGGATAGTCCGGATGAATCCAGCGCATCTGAATTACCCAGTGAGGCCGAAAGTTGCATATGGGTGGGCGGCAGAGGTGGTGAAATAAGTGGTGATAGTGGTGGTGATGGTGGTGGTGATGGTGGTGCAGATGTGGGGGTGGTGCATATACAGGGTATTTGAGTTAACAACAACTAATCAACCACCTTTCCCACCACTTGTGATATCACAAGAAAACAGGGATATCCCATCGATTACCAGTGAAAACCAACAGGCATTATTGTCTTACCATACTTCATTCTTATTAACAAATAGGCTTAGCTAGGCGGGCTAATTGCGTTTTCCATTGCAAAAAATGTCTGTTTACAGATGCTGAAACATAGGTTACGCCGTGCCACAGATGATTCAATCAATGCTTTTGAAGTCGAAGAGTTCTTATGTGATACTTTTGACGGCGGAAGCATCAGTCTCAGCCCTAGTGGTTTTATTTGAGTGTTCCACCTTTGTCGTCAGCCTGCGGATCCACATGAGGCTGTCTCCATCTTTAAGCGCGGATCGTCCGATGAAACCCCACGGTGGATACACGGATCACCGGCCCGCGTCCGTCCGTAGGTGTTGTGATGTTACATACTAGTCATCCACCTCTAGCGATGCTCACAACCGGCTTCAACATGTCGATTGATGGGGAATCTGTCGTCATTAATTACCGATAGGTTATCTCTCTCTAGCTTAAGTGCCGCCAAACTCCAGAACAGCGTAATTCCAGCTTGAGCGGAGGCGACAAGACTTTCACCACAGCATAACAGTTGCTCACGAGTTATGGAGGGGCCAGTCAATGACAGAGTTGCAGATGATGCGCTTATCAGCAGGCGGTGACGCTAAAGGGCTTCAGTGAGGTGGATGATGTCGTCTGTCAGCTGCGTGTGACGGTTTTGCTCCCGACCTCTGGATGGCGCAAAACACTTCCGCCATAGAACAGTTTTAGGGCCCACGGAGGGAGTAAGGGCGGTGGTGGTTAGAGGGGACGTTGGTAATATTACCCCGACGCGTCCAATGTCTGTAGTTTGGAGAAAGAGTGCCGTCTGGAGCCGGGCAGAGTCTATGTTATGGCAAGGATTGCGGGGTAATGATGCAGACCTTAGAAACATTAACATCAACATAGTAGATGCCTTCATTTAATAGCGGGCAGCGGCAGAATGCTAGAGAGATTTGTTCAGCGGCCAGTGGATTAAGCCTATTTTGGATTTTGCTTAACTAACTGATAAGAAGGCTAGGATTTAGAAAGTTATGTTAAGTTAAAAACTCCTTGGATTTAAGCAATTCAAAGTCAGGCGATTTAAGGTAAAATATAGGTAATATGGTTCTTTGTGTAGCCTTAAAGTAGGCAATTACTAGCCTAGTTGTAGATAACGTGTCGCTAGCACTCCTTGAAGGTTAAGTAGGAGGGCTTTATCTTAGGCATCGTGGGCGTCTGTTGGCGATGGTGGATTTGTGGCAAAAAGGGCGTTTTTTGTATGGGTTATGGACGGCGGCGGTGGCAGTGGTGGCAGTGCCTCCCAAAATAGGCTTAACCACTGGCCGCCGAACAAATCGCTCTGGCATTCTACCGCTGCCCTTGAATAACAAGGAATCAGACCCATCACTATGCTGGCGTTGCTTTCCACCCAGGACCCTGACCCTATTCCAAACAAATAAACGCATATACGTGTAGTTGCCACTCTTATGGTTACTAGTCGCCGGAGGATTGTTTTCCGCTAGGACCAGCCACTGCGTCATTCACGAGATCTAGTGGAGGACATGAACCTGGTGCTTGGGTTCAACCGCGCCCTAAATTGAGCAGGCAGGCCCCTGCGATGCAAGGCGTATCGCGTACGGGTGCCATCGTGTACAACGGTGCCGCCGGTTTCTAGGACGACCGGCTCCTTGCGATCGCTGAAAGACCCCTTAACTCTCCGTGTTAGTCAGTGCCATTCCGGGTATTCGGCATTGGTAGGTCAGGTAGGCGCTGGAACAAGGCATAGAGTGACGTAAGCGCTGGAACGGCGCCTTTCTAGCGCAGTTGGGGATCTCCGTCGCCGGCTGTCTTAGCGTGGATCAGTCGGCAGCAAAATGCGATAGACGGTCGTTGTTGTCGTTGTCGATCAATGGTGCTTTGTTCAAGAAACGCATTGTACCGGTTCCCTCTCCAGGACAATGCTGCTTTTTGGACTAAGAAGATAGAAAGACTTTTTTTAATCCGAAGTCCAGTTCGCGTTCCCCTGCATTAGCTCGCCCTTTGGCCTCACATAAACACGGGACCCAAGTAACTTTGCGCAACACTAGACATTTCTACGAGCACACCCTATTCTTAGATATCCGATAGGCACATTAGCGCAGTACTATTCCGCTGCCGAATGATCAGTTCGGACGAGAAAGAAGCCATTCACCCGACGCAGCAACCCGTAATACCCGACCTCCGCCGAGCCTAACGCCAAGGATTGAGGAGATATGGCCGGTGATCGAGTTTTCGCCACGGCGTGGCTGTTCCTTTGAAGTCCGAGACCTCAGAAAAATACGATGGCCAAAGGATTGATCTAACAAAGTAGATGCTGGTTCGATGAGTATATAGCTCAAACATGCTCACACACTTCTTGGCATTCGTCACACAATCACAAGCTACTCAGCCAAAACATCACTACCAATACAAGTCATCTCATCGACCCACTATCGTTACTTGTTTGATTTGATTAGCCACCCAAGATGGTAGCCCTGCAGAATGCCAAGAACTTTGGGAGCTGGCTGCTGTCGACCCAAGCTGCCTTGTCTCAAGACAAAACCAACGGGTGCGCCACCTCCTCCCCCCTGCACCCCTTTCCCGGCCTGTCGTCGACGCAGGGCTCTGTGAATAACTTGCTCGCATCGAACTGCGCTTACTAAATGATAGGAAATCTCCTCTTGGGACTATTGGGGCACCCAAGCTTCCGCCCTTCCTGACAAACAACCCGCTGCCCCAGGGCAAGCCGTGGGGACCGCTCACGGTCGACGGAACTAACCCGTACTCCACCTGGCCCAACACCGGTGTCACCCGCAACTACGACTTCACCGTCAGCCGTGGGACTATTGCTCCTGATGGGTATGAAAGATCAGTTCTTCTGGTCAACGGGGCGTTCCCGGGGCCAACCATTGAGGCGAACTGGGGCGATTGGATCGAGGTCAAGGTGACCAACAACATCACCACCGGCACGCCTGAAGGTACTGCACTTCACTGGCACGGCTTTCTCCAGAAGGGCACGCAGTATGAGGACGGCGTTCCTGCCGTGTCCATGTGTCCTATTGCTCCCGGACAGACGTACACCTACAGGTTTCAGGCTTCACTCTACGGCACCACTTGGTACCACTCTCACTACTCGTCTCAGTATGCTGGCGGCCTGGTAGGGCCCATGGTCATCTACGGCCCCGGAAAGCTCTCGGCCGATATTGACCTCGGCCCGGTCATGCTTTCAGGTAGGAAAAAACCCTGCTGCTTGTTGACCCCTTCCCCAACCTTCTTTCCCCGTGCGCCTATTATAGCTCCCCGCTAATATCCATCATCAGACTGGTACCACGAACAATACTACGACCTGCTCGAGGACATCTTGAAAGTCGGAGCAAGCGGCCTAGTCTTTTCGGTCAACAACCTTATCAACGGAAAAAACAACTTCAACTGTTCTGATGTCACCCCTGGAGACAGCACCAAGTGCACCCCCAATGCCGGTGTCTCCAAGTTCAAATTCCAGACAGGCAAGACCCACCGTCTCCGCCTCATCAACGCTGGCGCCGAAGGTACACAGCGGTTTTCTATCGATGACCACACCCTCACGGTCATCGCCAACGACTTTGTCCCAGTTGAACCCTACGATACAAAGGTCGTCACTCTTGGCGTCGGCCAGAGGACAGATATCCTCGTCAAGGCTACCGGAAACGCCAACAGTGCCTACTGGATGCGTAGCAACATTAGCAGCTGCAGTCTAACCAACCAGCCCTTCGGCCTTGCTGCTATCTACTATGACAAGGCCGACGAGTCAAAGGTCCCGACTAGCCAAGCGTGGGACGTCGCTGACCCTGGCACTTGTGTCAACGATGATCTCTCCCTCACTAAGCCCGTCTTTAAGATGGCGCCTGCCAACGTCCCTGTTACCCGAAACCTCGAAATTAAGCTCTTCCGCAACGATTCTGGTATCATTCAATGGTCGCTTGGGGGTGAAGACTTCCGTGGCGATTATAACAGCCCCACGCTTCATCAGGCCATCAAGGGCAACTTGACCTTTGACGCTGAGTGGAACGTTGACAACTATTCAAACAACGGCAGCATCCGTGTAGTCATTAGCAACAACAGTCCTGCAGCGTAAGTCCATCCAGCAAAGTCTCCCATACAACTAGTCAACCGCACCTTTTACCTCCCCCTTGTTACGTTGCTTCTATGTAAGCAAGACTGACGCGTATCCGACAGCCACCCGATGCATTTGCATGGATTTAACATGTATGTACTGGCCGAGGGCCCTGGGCTCACCTGGGACGGGACCATCACCGACCCCCAGAACCCGCAGCGCCGCGACGTCCAGCTGGTACGCGCCAACGGCCACATGGTCCTGCAGATCGACACTGCCGACAACCCGGGCGTGTGGCCGTTCCACTGCCACATCGCCTGGCACGCATCGGCTGGCCTCTTCTCCCAATTCCTGGTGCAGCCCGAGAAGGTGGCGCAAATCAAGCTCCCACAAGCCGCTGTGGATACCTGCAACCAGTGGCAGGCCTGGACCTCGAAGAACATTGCCGACCAGATCGACAGTGGCTTGTAGAGAGTGCGAGGGATCGCACAGATTGATGTGTATAGATATGATACATGCTCCAGATTGTTCCATTAATTATACATGTACATAAGGTCAGAATGGCTTTGTTAGACAGGGATATGGGCCGAGGTAAACTGTAGAAATAGTATTAGTCAGATCAAGCAATAGACACTATACTGACACCTCCTTTCTTGTTACTTTGTCTTCAAGAAAAATTAACATCTATTGCTAATTGTGGCATCAGTGCTGTGCTGCCTCACATGGATACAAGGTTCCCCGTGACAGTACTTATATAACAGACCTGTGATGAACCGCAGCGTCTGGTCATATGAGAGAGAAGTAGTTGTCCTATTAAGAAACTACATATGAACCGGAGAAGTGGTACAAATACCTTTTCTACACGGTCCGTGCGGGTGGTACGCCACATCGGTGGCGGCGCTGCTGGCACTAGCCACACGAAGCTATTCCAGCTTCACAAGACCTATATAAGACATGGAATAATAGAGAACTACTGTGGGAGATTAGTGTTATCGGCAGAAAAAAGAGATGGTAGACAGCAGAGAATATATTTACATTGGCGGGTATAATTCTTCAGGCAACAGAAAGCTAAGCACTACTTGTAATCAAGGCCAAAATCGCCAAAATAGTCATCCTCAACCTTATCACAAGCGAAGGCCTCTCGCAGAAACAAGGATACCATGCGCCATAGCGCGACAAATACCTCTACAGCAGGCTCATAAGACTCGGCGAAAGCATAGTCAGGGCCAAGCCGAAACACTACAGCGCCAATTTTGGTATATTATAGCGCTGTATGGCTTTAGACCTATAAGCTTGGCTGCTCGGTTTGGTCATTGGCGCACCCTACTATTCAAGACCCTACACTTGAGATCTATTTTCAGTCTTCTTACCGCCTTTCTCTTTCTCTCCTTCCTTCGATGCTAGCTTTCTCTAATATTTGTAGACAATCCCAAAAATCGCGTCATCGAAAATATTGTCTTTTACCAACGGAATTCAAGAGTGGTCTCCGTATCAAAAACTTCCGCCTGATGACATGGTAGATGAGCTCTGGAATCGGCTGTACAGGCGTACGCCCACCCTTCCCATCACCATACAATATGTTGTTTCTGATTAACGCAGCAGATGTTCTTCCTGAAAGGATCAACCGTAAATCCTCTAGAAAGCTGATTAATCAGACAGTCGTCGCTCCTGGGTCGGACGGACAAGGCTTAATTGGTCTAGAGGTGATGAGTTCTACGCTACGACGCATTCCTTCAACCATCCCAATGGACTGACTTCTCATCAGACATCTAATGGATTGCATTGCTTGGTTTAAGATGCGGTTAAAAAATCAGCCGGACTGACATTGCTGACAATACGCTTCGGAAATCCTTGTGGCCTAGTCGCTACCCGAATTACTCTGTGGTTACACCATCTTACAGTTGGAGAAGACTCTCATTAATGATCATACAACTACATGAAGGCATGAAGAATCTTGTAGAACCAATGGAGAAAAGGCCCTCTGGATCATAAGCTATGACGCCCCAAGACTTAGACTTTTCTGTTGCTATGGATCGAAGCAATCTAGACCACAATTACAACCACGGTAACCTACTACCGCTACGGTCTTGATCAATGCACCGGAGATAGATGATGAACTACCTCTGCGGTTTAGATCAATGCATCGGAGATAGATAATGAACTACCTCTGCGGTTTGGATCAATGCACCGGAGATAGATAATAGATCAATGCACCGGAGACTGACAATACACCAGTTAATCGGAGATACCTCTGAGAAGATATATATTTTGATGCCTCGAACCCCTCCAAACCATCATTCCTTTCCAAACATCATCAAGACATCCTTCACCGACAAGCTCTTGCTACTACTATTACTCATTCAATTACGAAAGCCAGCCTTCATCAGCCTCTTCCCCAACGAGCTCTTACTTCTCTCACTACTTTTCTCATTACTCCTTCAATTCAATCAGGATTGCCTCAGTCTTCGACCAAGCGGCAAATACAACCACCATTACAAGGCAAAATGGGTTCTTCTCACTCAGTCACCTCTAAGCCTGACGGCTACTACGGCCTCGCCGCCATTAGCGCCCATGCACGTCGGATCCGCTCCACGACAGACGATGCCGAGGACGTCCTTCATTTCGCGATGTCCCAGCAAGACAGATTCCACCACATCTTCGACGAAGAATCCGAGGCTGAATACCATATCCGGCGAGGTTGGGAGATGGACAAGCACCTGGCCTGCCAGACACTTACTGGTCGACAACTCCGCCATTCCCTCCGCGATATGGATCGCGAGATGACCCACCAGCTCCGAGTCAGTTACAACAAGTTCCGCAACCGCAAGCAACGCGCCCTTGCCCAGTTCAAGTATGAGTGGAAAAACCATGAGGATGCCAGACATTATCCTTACTGGGGCAAGGAGCTGTACTGCTAATGGACTACCATAATAAAACCATCGATAAGGTTGGATCAGTTGGCATTGAAAGAAAGGGTGTGAGATGTCAAAAGTATAGTTACATGGGACATCGATAATTAGGAGAGAGGTTTTCTGGTTCCCCTTAGGGAATGGCATATATTAATTACGCAATAAAGTGTGTTCACTTTCATGATTTTGTGCATCCAAAAATTACTACCTCGTGTTTATTGTCTTTCCGTAAGGAGGAAAAAGTCTCTCATCAATGCTTTTATTGAGACTGTTTGTTATGCCATTCAAGATGGATGCATTAACGTGCGTCTTCTATGTACCGGATCTGTCACCTCATGAGATAGTTTAGACAGATAAGATTGGGACCAATCAACTTGTCTTGCCATATAAACCAAACCATCCGTCTTTCAGCATAACCCAGAGGTGTGTTGAGAGAATGATCAGCAACTCGCATTGTTGTCCAGCAACATTTCAAAAATCTCATGATAGCTATTCATAGCTGCGTAATGCAACAATGACTTTTCTTCCGGACCATACTGGCTTTCTCAATCCAATATCCCAACGTTGTTGTCCAGGAGGGCCCAGACAATCTTCGATGACCCTCCCGATAATGCTGCTTGAAGTGCAGTGCCATGAGTCGCATCGCGAACGTTGACATCTGCGCCTGGCAGGGCATACATCCCCCGTTGAAAACGCCCAGTAAGATCAGGTAAACGATCACGTACCAGTACTGCTTGCTAAGGAAGAGCTCGTCCATCATGTGCTCCACCACCGCATCCGCGGTGGTCGTGTCCTGGGGCCTGGCAATGGTAGCCGCGTCGAGGTCATGTCTAACTTCGAGGACGTATTTATTACTATGTAAAATGAAGTACAGTCTTATAGTCTATACGCTGCCAATGAATACCCCGGGACACCAGAACCCCAAGGCCGCTGGTGCCGAATACATACGGAGGAAGGATGCTGGCATAAGATAGGCAAGGACACCTAATATCATAAAACAAATCAGCAATCTCAGATAGTGTCGTTGTGAGAGTGGTGAAAGACGATAAGCTGATAAAGGGAAAGCTTGAGACATGAAGTGGAGAGGGGTGGCGGGTAACACATAAGAGGGCAGACGGGAGAAATGCGGGAGAACGGAAAGCGTACTCTGGGTATTGTTAGCATCATTTGATAGATTGAACGGTGACACGGAAAAGCCACCTAGATTGCCAGCAGCCCATGTGTCGCTGCTTTCCGGGCACAAGCTTGGGATGAGGAGTTATCATTCTAGTGTATTGTTGCGATATGGCGGCTGCTGTGCGACCACACCCAGCATGCGCGATGCTAAGCCCACGGCTGCACCGACATGTGCGCAACTACCGGTACCGGCACACATGCATGGCACCCACACAGTAACTGCAGTCCTAGGTGTATAAATGTCAATGTGACAGGCAATCTCGCGATGTCTTTCCCTGTTCTACCCGGATAGCCCGCTGCACGCTCACCTGCAGTCAACAGGTTTCAGTCAATGAGGAGGACCGTTGAAGATTGAGGACGGTACTAGTGCTTACGCTTAGTCACTAGCCTTGGCTGAGCTTGTAGGGCTTGTACTCGATGGAGGGGGAGGGGGAGCAGGGGTGGCTTGAGGACGATGCTGACTGACTTCGTTTGCACAGGTGCCTTAGGGCTGACATCGTACGATATGTATCGTCCTGGGAGAAATCGAAAGCTTGGAATGCTTATCTGTGAGATGCGATGAATAGTGAAGTCTGACGCAGCAGCTGAGATGTCAGGATCTCATGCGCCAGGGCACACACACACAAACCCGGGTGCTAGTGTGCGTGGGTTATATCCCGGGTCCACACCAAGCTGATCCAAGGTGTTTGCAAGTAGGCAAGCCCTCAAAACTGTCTGAATCGCTAGGGGTTTGTCATTTCTTCTTTCAAGTCTCAGCCCTGCGACTCGGATGAGAGCGATAGCCTACTGCAAGTGTGGCACGCTATCATATCCCGGTCCACCCCATCTTGTGGCCAACAGGAAGCGTCGAGGCGAAGCAGTCACTCCAGCCGATCCTATAACCGCAGCCGGCACTCTCACAGACATCCGAATATAGATGATGCTCTCTCAAGATGACGATAGCACTAGCTAATATCTCCTCATCTTATACTGCTGCGCAACGTGATCAATGCAGCAGTGCAGCAGGGGGGGGGAGTCCAGAGCCCGACTTTTTAACCCTTCAAAATTGTGTCATGGCTTGCTGCCCAGCCTTTGGAGTGTGCGCTATCAAGAAGGTCGAATAAGTATCTTCACTCCCCGGACAACTTCAGCTCATGTGCAGTATCATCGCGCCATCTGCTCTTTCGTTGTCTGTCCGCCGCTACCTGTATAGCCTAGGCAATTCTTTGTTAATCCGCAGTTTATCTCTTTCGGCCTCCTTTACTTGCTCGTGTCCTGTTGACACCAAGGAGCAGTGCCGAGATGGCCTTCTCGATGTTACTGCTGTTGTTGGCCGGACTGGCACAGGCTCTTCGTTATGACCCGGCCTTTGAGGAGTGGAATCTGAACACTAACCAGCAAGCAACAAATCCTCTTGATTATACGGGGACGCGACCGGGGCACAACTACACGGCATCGCCTGATAATTGGCGTTTTCCGTTCTACACAGTGATGCTGGATCGGTGGGTCAATGGGGACCCGTCTAACGACAATGCGAACGGGACTTTATTCGAGCAGGACATCTTGGGTACACAACTACGGAATGGCGGAGATGTTCAGGGTCTGATCGACAGCCTGGATTATCTCCAGGGGTTTGGTATCCGGGTAGGCTCTCGACCAATGGGACCAAGCATTTTGGCTGCGTGTGCTAATAGGATTCAGGGGATATACCTCGCGGGATCGCCGTTCATTAATCAACCGTGGGGTTATGATATGTACTCGGTAAGAAACCTGAATTCCGACTCCCCAAGCACACTTCTACTACCCCCGGCAAGCTGTTCTGACCATTTTGTCAGCCACTCGACTTGACACTGCTCGATGCCCACCTCGGAAATGTCACAATGTGGCAAAATGCCATCGATGAGATCCACTCCCGGGGAATGTACGTGGTAATGGACAACACAGTGGCCACTATGGGGGACTTGATCGGTTTTGAGGATCATTTGAACGTCACAGCTCCATTTGACGAACGGGAATACAAGGCGCTCTGGAAGACCGAGCGCCGATACCACGACTTCGAATTCGGTAACGATTACAACGAAACCTGCGAGTATCCTCGGTTCTGGGGGGCCGCGGGTGACCGCGTCCCGGCGGCCGACATCAGCGCCCTCAAAGGCTGTTTTAACAGTGATTTTGATCAGTACGGCGACGTTGAAGCCTTTGGTTTCCACCCAGACTGGCAGAGGCAGCTGTCCAAGTTCGCTTCCGTCCAAGACCGCCTCCGGGAATGGGTCCCTTCCGTGCGTAAGCGCTTGGAGGTATTCTCGTGTCTGCAAATTACCATGCTGGACATCGACGGGTTTCGCTTCGACAAAGCCGCTCAAGTCACGGTCGATGCTCAGGGCAACTTTTCAGCTGCGATGCGAAAATGCGCTGCTAGCGTGGGGAAGAAGAACTTTTTCTTACCCGGCGAAATTACGGCTGGAAATAACCTTGGGTCGATATATTATGGTAGGGGACTAGAAGCGGACTCGAAATTCGATCAGCTTGACAAGGCCCTCAACGCAACGGGTAATGATACTAGATATATCCGGGATCCGGGACAGAATGCCCTCGATGCCGCCGCATTTCATTACTCGGTGTTCCGCTTTCTCATCCGGTTTCTGGGCATAAGCGGCCCAAATCTTGAGAGCGGCTACGATCTTCCCACGGATTGGGTCAGCATGGTCAGCCAGATGCTGCTTACCAACGACCTAGTCAACCCAAACACCGAAAAGGTCGACCCGCGCCACATGTATGGCGTCACGAACCAGGACAACTTCAGGTGGCCTGCTGTGAGCCAAGGCATCGAGAGAGAACTTCTCGGATTCTTCATGACCACGCTATTCATGCCAGGCATCCCACTGCTCTACTACGGCCAAGAACAAGGTCTCTACGTGCTGACTTCCACCGCGGAAAACTACGTCTACGGCCGTCAGCCCATGACGCCCGCGCCGTCGTCCATGCTCCACGGATGCTACGCGCTCGGCGCCTCCACCTATGTCGACTTCCCTCTCGGGGCTGCCAGAAACGGCTGCGAAGACGAAGGCGTGTCCCGCGACCACCGCGACCCCAGCCATCCCATGCGCAATATACTCAGGGCCATGTACACGATGCGAGAGAACTACCCCACGCTATCCGAAGGCTTGCTTATCCAACCACTGGCAAACCAGACCGAGTACCGGCTGTTGAACGGCAGCCTCGTGCCCACGGAGTTTGGCATCTGGAGCGTCGCTCGCGCACTCTACCCGGGCTTCGTGCAGGACCAGTTCGCCAAGGACCCGGTGTGGTTTGTCTACCACAACGAGAACGAGACGACCAAGTACAGCTTCGACTGCAGCAACAACTTGACGGGCTTTTTTGCGCCGTTTGATGCCGGCTCGACGGTGAAGAACTTGTTCTACCCGTACGACGAGCTCACCCTGGCCTCGTCGCCGCAGTTCTTCGGGTTTGACGGATCCGAGAAGGCGTCGGGGTGTATTTCCGATATCAGCCTGGACCCTTTCGAGTACCGCGCCTATGTGCCCAAGGCACAGTGGAAGGAAGCGCCGCCAATGATCACCAAGTTCACCCCGGGACACGACGTGTCCATCGACTCGGCAGATTCCAAAGGTGCCGCGAACATCAGCTTCTCCTTCTCTCAGGAGATGGACTGCGATTCCGTGACGAAAGCCATCTCGGTAACGTCCACTGTCGAAGGGAATGGCGGCGATGCCACGATCGACGAGACGAGTGTCCAGTGTACGAAGCTAACTGAGGATAAAAAACCGCCCTACATCGGCGCCATCGGCTCAAAGTGGCGCTGGACAGCCACGCTACGGAACCTCACGGACGGCGTCCACTCCATCAAAGTGGTCAACGCCTCTGCCGTAGCAGGGGCCTCGACCGGATCGACAGACAAGTTCCTCCTCCGCGTTGGCGCCGCCGGAAACCCCATCACCTTCCCCATCTCCGCCAACTACTCCGGCACGCTGCTCACAAAGTCCGG